AAAAAGCAAAAACCTATATATTTCCTCCCCCAGTGCTCTTATTGAAGTATAACCCTCTCTCTACAAATGCTGCATAGGAAAGTCAAAATGCCTTTTTATGAACTTGTATTTATCAGTGTCATTCTGTCTGTACTGTACTCATGACTTAACCTTTAATGTTTAATGTATAACTATAAAATTATTGTACAAGCTTTTAAGTGTGGTAAAGTCATTTGGGAATATCTGCCTGCTAATTATGCTGTAAACAGACTCTTGCAGTGCTTCCTCAGAGCACATCAGCCAGTTGGAAGGTATACATAAGAAAGGTTACTAACAGTGCTGAAGTTGGTAACCAATATACTGAGAAGCTGCATGCTCAAAACTGGGAGCAAACTGGGAGTCTGCCAATACAATGCCACTGGCAGACGCTTTTAGTGCAGATCTGGCCTCCATCTGATGTACCCTTAGATGAATTCAGACTACAGTAGCTGCTGCTTCGCTATGGTTGGTTAAGCTGCCTTTGTACTCTCTTATGCTTCAGCATGAGACTAAACATGCAGTATAAGCTTTCACAACTTAGTGTGATGTTTTCCTCATGGAAAGTCCCTGGATTTCCATATGCCAACCTATGCTGATGGTGCCACTGGTCAGAAACTGAAGAAGCCATGGGATCTTGGCTTGAACTAAGGTGTTTTTTAAAATTAATATTAATAGAGGGGAAGTCTCTACTAGAATACTACAAGATTTGTCTAGTAATGGGTGTATGCAACTAGAGTTTTTTAAATGCTCAGTAGCCTGTTCTGTTAGATGTTTCAAACTGCCTGCATCAAGTTAAAATGGTAGACTATTTATTTAAAAGTTTCAGCTTAAATACATTACCTGCTACAACAGTGACATTTACATAAAAGACAAAGGGTTAACTGCTGCATAAAAAGTACAGTTTAGGGGACAGTAGCTCTTGACTCTTTTCTTTAAAATATTCATGAGGGCAATGTTAGATTTGAGAGGCAGAGAATGAAATGCTGGTGTTGGTTTCATTTGGGATCAATCCAGCTCATCTGCACTATGCTGGGAATGCTTGCTATCTACTTGAGAGAAGAGGATGTATAGGCTACGTTGGAGCACTTCCAGTTATTTCCCTATGATACATTGGGTGAGAATTTCTGCTACATTGGGGAAGTTAGTTTATTAGTTTTAATAATTATATCCATTGTTCTTTTGTTATCAGGTGAACGCCATGGTGAGAAGAGAGAGTTTAGTTAACCAGTATGCTGATCTACAGTCTACACAACATAACATGCCTAAGAAAAAATAAGCCTCTTATGGGAGAATCTAGAGTTTTCCTAATAATTATGCTGTTTACCCAAGTAGGAGGCAAATTAAATTAATCTAATCATTTGGCAAGAACTACAACAGCTTTCCAGAAACACAAGAATTGTTGAGTTTAAAGTTACTAGTGATTGTTCACCACCACCACTCAAAGTGGACAGCAAGCACACCTACTGCAGCAACTGCTCTTCCGAAACCAAGTTAGGCACGCAAACTGCAAATTAAGTGAACAGTAGACATTCAAGAGACTAGTTAAAAAAACATTTATTGAAATTTTAAAAATAAGTGAGATGGTATATCAGTTCTTACATGCACTTATGGCACTACCCACTTGTTCCTACTCTTATTTACAATGCATGAAGCAGCCACTGGCAAGAAATAGCTGTGATTCTAGATGCACATTATTTCTCTGGAATAAGGCAAAGAATCTGATTCTTAAACTTTTAGCTGTACACAGGAACAGGCACTGGATCCATATAGTCACCTCAGCTATTCTACATTTGTCAAGTACTTGCACTCCTTTAAACAGCCAACGTGTGGTTTTGTTCCCGTAACTGTTCCCGTCTGAACTGCAGTTGGGGGCTACACTGTGTAATTTCATGGCTCCTACCGAAGTACCTAGAATGTTTCAGAAGCATCGGCACAGTTAGGATAGCATTTTCAATGCATGTTCTACCAGTGAAAATGGACCTTTGTCTTCAATGGGGCAGAGTTTGGTCAAAGCTAAGTACTTGAAAACTCCACCCTTCAGTCATTCTGAATACATCCCAGCACCACTGTGTAATAACCCAACCATTTCAGTACAGAAGTCCCTTGATTCTTGGTCTACAAATGATTCCACAAAACAACAAAAACAAAGCCCAACAACAAAACCTGATGTCCTTTAACAGGCAAACAGCCTGTTCCAAATCTGTCAGGTGCTCACGCCTCACACCAGCTGGTCAGGTCCATGCTGTTTTCGGACGAGCATAGGGCTGAAAGAAAAGTCATAAGAAAATGACAGGCATTCCAATATCCCAAATTAAAGGCCTAAGAATGATACTCAGTGTGCCAACCGCTTTAACCGATGGTGGAATGGAGGTTTGTAAAGAAAACTCTTCTCTAAGGGGGAAGAGAGAATCCCTCAGGAAAGGTTACTGTCCTATATCTTTTTGGAGAAGTAAGATCTAAGAGCCAGAGAAGCAGCAGTGCTGAGGGTTAATAGTGAAGTCACTCTGCCACAGACTAAGAAATGTAAGAAATGTTCTTTTCAGAAAGAGTAAGTCAAAGCCATCTCTTTGGCTTCCATAATGCTAATGTACCCATGCTGCTGGAGCCTTGGACAGCACTGACATGCAGAGCTGCAGCTTTCTGGAGCACTGCATCACCCAAGACTTGGGCCCCTTAACTAGAATGTACAGAGGAGCTCTAAAGAACTGATTTAAGATGCAGAGAAGGAGACCAGGCTTCAGACTGAGCTTTTCCTTGAGACCCCTTTTGATAATCCAAGACAGCTTCATTACAAGTAGCAGCGTGGAGAGAGCAAGAAGTGTAAGAAACGCTGATCCCCATGAAAAGTGACTCCTGCTCTTCCCAGGAGCTGTGCTTAGACAATTACCAGTGCCAAGCTATTACTCTCAGCAGCAAGCTGACCTCTGCCATTGCCCACTGGGAACCCAGCTGGGGAGGGAAGGGTGTTCTATGCCAGGCATGCTTGCTCAGACACAGTTCCTCCATACCCTGTGGTGATATCCTTGCTGCATCATGCGCTTGGCCTCCTGCTGCACCAATTCCTCATGGCGCTGCTCTGCCAGCCTCTCTTCTTCCTCCTCTGCTCTCTGACGCTCCAGCTCTTCCTGCTCTTGGAGGCGATGCTCTGTGAGCTAAGCATTGTGAGAACACAGGCTGTTAGAGCGAGATCCCGAGCAGCCACATGCCAGCCAGAGAAGCTGCACTGGCATTTCTAGGCAACACTTTACAGGGGTTAGCACTGCTTCTGCGGAGTGTGCTGCAGCAGACACTGACTGTTCTTCAGGCCAGGCCCAGAGCAGAGGTGCCTGTCTCAGTCAGACTGATCATAGTTAATCGCATGCTTTGCTGAGGTGATTTCCTGTGTGGTCCTCTGTGAGTGCCTGCTGCATTTACTTGGGCTTTAGGACAGCCTCTAGCAGCAAACCTCTGGAAAATGTTAACAGAAAGTGACAGACACCCTGTCCTGACACCCAGGTGGATCACTAATGAGGCCCCTTGCCATATGTTTTCTAGATGGCAGTAAAGCAAGCCTAGTTAGCTGTCAGCATCCTAAAAGCCTGGCATGCACACTGAGAAAGGCTGGGCTCTACCTGAGCCTCTAGCTCCTGCTTGCGAGCTGTCTTCAGTTCCTCCTCTTCCTCCCTCTCTCGACGAGTCAGCTCCTTTGCCTCCTCCAGCTCTCTGATCAGCTCTTCCCGCTGTTTTACAGATTCCTCTTGGGCATGTCTGTTGAGCTCCATCTTCTCTTGGATCTGGCGCTGTCTGCCTGCAAGGACCTAGGTGGGTGGAATGGGAAACAGGGAAGGAAAGAAACATGATAAAGAAAGAGGTGGAAACAAACCTCAGTGCAGAGTCAAGCCCATTCTCCAGCACCCCTTGAACCAAGAGAAAGAAAAGCTCATCCCTAGCACTAGAGCAAGTCAGCAGGCCTGACAGAGCCTGAGGCAGAAAGCCAGTGCTTCAGACAAGAGAGCAACCTTGTTAGAGAAGGCATCACCTCATTCATCAGTCGATCTCTGGCCTTCCTTTCTTTTTCCCATTCTTCCTCTCTCCTTTCCCACACTTGTTTGGCTTCTTCCCTGAGGGTGGGTACAGAGAGTGTGCAAGCAATCCAGCATTGTTGCTTATGATGTAAAACCAACAAAGTTCATGGGAACAGACAAGCCTCCCCATGCCCTGGCATGCAGGCAACCCCAAGACTCTGCCAACTGCTGCAACCTAGCACCAGAGTGCAGAGCACCCATGTTATCTCCCCTCGTTTCAAAGTGCCTTTTGATTTCAACATTAACTCTGGCTCCTCAGCTCCTTGATATAAAAACACCACACCTGCATTTTGTGAAGGCAACAACCTCTCTGGTTCACTCACCCACGCAGAAAGGCATGCCAGACAACAGCCTGCCTGTCCTATGCGTTATGTTCAGAGATCTACCTCACACAGGGCGGGGGACTCAGGGCTCTGCTGAAAAGATTTGGAATCTGTAATGCTGCTTCTGCACAACCGTGTTTAGCGAGAAAACCCCCTCCCAGCCTGACCCTGGGCAGGAGGAATCATGCAGCCTGTGGTGGGCCAGTAGGGGGTGCTCCTGCATTGAGCC